GTGGGGAGCGTTTTTATCATCACCTTCCAAAACTAAAGCAACACTAAGTATTTCTGCATGTTGGTTATATTTTTGTACTCCAAGTGCTTCTGACATTAGTTTTGGAACAACCTTCCTCTGAGCTAATTGCTCAGTAGAAACACAGTAACTATTCAGAACATGTTTTTGGCAATGTTTCAAGGCATCAGGAAAAGAACTAGACTACAAATGAGTTTGCCATTTTAACAGGCCCCTTCACTTTGTGCATGTCCATCAACCCTCCACCTAAGTCCAGATGTTTTTTTTAAAGCCCCAAACTCATGATAGACTTTTAGAAGCCATGATTTGTCTCTAGTCCACAATTTGCTACTGGTCCTTTAGGCTGGCATCCTATTGAACTCTGTGTCTCTGCACAAATGAATATTATTTCACTGGAATGAATAGGGCTTGCCTTTGTACAGGGAGCTATTGGCTATTTCTGTTCACAGAAAATATTCAACCCCTTATGAAACAGGGGATCCATGGAAGAGGTTCCTAGTCCGTATTGCAAGGACTACATGCCATGCAATCTGACTCTGCACAGAGCAGAGATGAAATAATTTTGGTGGATTCAACATTCTCAACAAAAGTAGACATTTTTCACTTCTTGAGACCTACGAGAATGACCAAACTTTGCCTTGAACATCAAAACATTTGCAAGGCTTACACAGACATTTCAGAGAAATAACAAATGTACAAAAACATTTTAAAATGCAGATCACTAAAATGCACATGCATGCGAAAATATGCCCAAATACCCTTTAGCCAATGAGGCCTAGCTACTTCAGGTTACAGTCCACAAAACCAATAAGTGCCATTAGCAGCGACAGGCACACAACCTATTCAACTGCACAGATGTATAACAAATGAATACCAAAAAAATGACCCAACATTTCATGGGTACAAGCAGTGAAACAAATACATATATAATAGGCATAGAGTACTTTTTCTTAAGAGGCAGTGCTTGTCTTATAGGAAAGGAATAACAGCTGGACCAGTTTGCTTATCTAATCATGTGAAATTTGTTCTTGCCTTATTACATTACTCTTTTCTCTCCTAATGCACTCTTGCCCACAAATCACAACTCCATGTATGGTCACAGCATATGCGCATGCGCAGGGACACACACACACATATGCACATGGACACACACAGAGAATCACAACTCCATGTATGGTCACAGCATACGCGCATGCGCAGGGACACACACACACACACACACACACACAGGAGCTCTCACCCATCTAGCCTTCCCAATTCAGAACAACCCCCACAACTGGAGTCCTTCCCTCCTTAATATATCTTGTGTTCAAGGACTACTTCCTTTGTAAATGTCACTCTAAAACATTATTTTCTTTCTTCCTTAATGGCTCAAAGGGAGAAAGATAACTATCTGCATACAATGGGAACTACCATGACAGAGACCAAACACAATGGCTGCACTAATTTCTAAGAGTAAACTATATTATACTGTTTCTATAAAAGGTGAGAATTAAACCATTTATTATGGTGTTTAGCAATTATATAGTTCTGGTGGTTTTCCTAGTATGTGTAAATATATTTTTAAAGGAGTCTTTAATATTGTGCTATATTTTTAAAATTCCCTTTGTAGTCTGGGGTTTGTGACCCCCCAAGTGCATCACAAAGTGTTTTCTGGGGGTCATGGTTTGCCTTATATGTGGTGTAGTCCTTGTTAAATAATTTCTTTCTTGACCTTTTGGAGCCAGATATTAAAGTTAGCATGTATGTACTATATGCATGAGAAACAGGCCCTTTGCCACAGAAAGGGGGGGGGGGGGAGAAACCGCTATTTTCTGAAAAGGCATGATTTTACCCCATTAGAAATGCCTTTTTAGGCAAACATGGTGGCAGGGTCCCAGGTTACTTGGCTATTATAAAAGAGGGCTGTGACCCCCAAAAAAGGTTGGGAACCATTGCCTTAGTAAATAAACATTTCTCAGGATGTGACAGGAGTAATACTATATTTGTGTGCGCGCACATCCTCCTATTAAAGCTGTTCTTTATTCTTCTATTCTGTGTTGTTGTTGTTGTACTTGCAATAACTTTTTTGCCTCTGCAGAACACCCTGAAAGAGACAAGAGTGCTCAAATATCCTTGCTGGCATCCTTTCGGTCCCCACCCTGCTCCACCCTCAAAGCCATATAAAGAAGACGTAAGCCAATCTTGGCTTGAGAAATCCCAAACAGCAGCATATCAGCTTCAGCTCACAACCATATATTTGTGTCAGACAAAGTCAGTTGATTCAATACTAGTTTTGGGAAACTACACTAGGGAGAAAACTGAGTATCTGCAGTGATAACAGGAGTATATAAGAGATGTGAAGAACCTTTGGGCATCCAGATTTTTTGACTTCTTTCTCATAGTTCCTTACTGTTGCCTTCACTTCCCATCCTCCCTTGCTTACTGGGAGGGAACTGAGAGACAACCTGCCATAAAGTATCTACTGAAACCAAACTAGTTAGTGTAACAAGGTCCTGAGACTAGCAATTACTGTAACATTATAACAAAATATCTCTCAAACCCATCAGTGCAGTAAACACAATTCTGATTCAGGTAGAGGTATTCTTCCAAATTATGGTAATGCTGCATAAAGAATTTGCATCTTGAGAAAAACACTTAGTGTAAAACCTGTATTTTGAAACCCTGATTCCAATTTATGTTGCAGCCATAAACCAAAGATAGATTCTTCCAAAAGGCACAGATCCACCTAAACAGAGAAAATGTTTAAGCGAATCAGCCCAAGTGAAAAAAAAAAACAATGCAGGAAGCACAACTGCTCAATTGAGGGCTAAGAAACATATACACAAGGCAAGGCAGCATCAGATTGTTCACTACCGATTGTTCTTTCAGCCACAGCAATGAGATTATACAATGTATGCAATTATACACAATGTATATGCAAGCAGCTGTATGTTATGTATACAATATTTCAATTCTTCTCAACAGAATTATAGTCAGCTCTTTTAGGCTCCACATATCAACACAAGAGAATCCTCTCTGAATGTTCCATCGACACTCCAAACACACAGCAAAGCACAGTTTTGTGTGTGTGCGCGCTTTATGAATGTGCAAATCAACCTTTAATGGATTCTCCCATTCAGAGGCACCCACAGTGTTGGCTTGGAAAGCCATCCCCTTGCTTCTGCCTTTCTTGTTCAGATGCCAACATTTACACAATTAAGGATTTGCAATGGCCAAAGACATCTGGCAATGCAAACAAAACACTGGCTGTGTTCTAGATAAAAATAATGGTACACACAGTCGTCTGACAATCAGCTTTCAAAACATCATTCTGAACGAGAGACAGAGAGAGAATAGCTGTTTGTTTTAGTAAACACCAATCTGACTTTTATGGAACTGAAATATCCTAGGGTTCTGTGGGAAGATAACCTGTTTCTTCAAGAGCTCCATACAAAGTGTAAAGAAAAGGCACACATGGATTAGCTATGACTAAGTGTCTCAGAAACATCAGATTTACCTGTGAACTCTCAACCCTGCATCACAAACTTGAGAGAAAACACCTGTGGGATTCAGCCCTAACAAAGGTTGCAAGCTTGTATCATCTGGAGGTGCTAATACACCTTCTTGCCCAAAGGAGACCAATGCTCAGAACAAAGACCCTACGGATAATGTCAGTGGAACGAACGGAACTTGAACGGAAATGGCATATTCCAGCCTTTCTGCAACTATGTTAACTTGCATGAACAGGAACCTACCATTTAGCCTCGGTACAATTACAGACTCAAACCCATAATCACAAGAGCTCATTGGTAACTGGTGTAAACGCCACACCAAAGCCAACTTCAGGCCTAATTATGCTGTCACTAAAGCTTCATTGAGCCGGAAAGAGAAAATGCGGACAATGTAATCACAAACACAGCAGCATTTTTGCCACTAACTGGCAAATGTTTCTCCTGGTAACTAGATCTCCCACCAATACCACCCTCCACTTTCAGCAAGGATGCATTAACCACATAGTAATAAAAGGAGAGTTCCTTCTGAATAAAGACCACCCACTTCACCCTAATCTGGTTTGTAGGTTTCCAACAGTCGTCCATCCTGACAGCCACCCTATATGAAAACAATGCTCCACCAGAATGCTCCTTCAGGCTCAGGCAGCCTTATAATCATAGTTCAGGATCAAAGAGAAGTGGCCCCTATTTTAACAGAAAAACAAGCTTCCTCTGAAGTGGAACATCTGGAGAAAGGTGAACCCAAGGAAACACAGTGCAATGGAACACAGTGTGACTTACTTCCGAGCAAACATGCACAGGACTCTGCAGCAAGTATGCTTAGGATTGCAGCTCCCCAGTTAACCACGGCCGCTGGTCTCCTGCTGCAGAGCCCAGGAGTTATATATATATATACCGCAGGGCCAAACAACGTCCACTGGGATGCCCCTAGTCTCCAACAGATAGACAGAGCGGAGGTCAGGAGATGCCTCCACCACCCACCCACCCACCCCCTCCAAGGATACAGGCCACGTGCGCAAATGCTGTGTGGCATTTGGGAGAGCCTATGCGCAAGATCCTCGGGGCGCCTAATCCTCGGCTACCACCCCTCCTTGTACACCCAAGTTCGGCGCCCCTCGCCCGCCTCCACAGCGGCCCCTAAAGGCAGGGTGTGTGTGGGCTCCCTTCCTGCCACGAGTAACCCCGACGCCCTGAATTTGGCGCTCGGGCACACCGAGGCGTTGCGGAGCGCGCGAGTTGCCGACTCCTTTTCGCAGGCCGTCCGTCCTCCGCCTCGCACCCTCGAGCCTCGGTCCCGCCGTCCTCCTTCCTCTTCAGGGCGCGAAAGGGGAGAGCTGCCGGCCCTCAGCTTCCCACCGGCAACCCCACACAACAGGCGGCGGTGGCGGCGGCGGCGTCTTCAGCCCCCTCCCTCAGCTCAGAGCAGCGTGTGCGCCGCTCCGGGGCCCCTGCCTTAACTGCGGAGACCAGCCGGACCTGGCTACTCACCGAAAAGCGCTCCAAATCCGTGGCAGCCATGGCGGGCCAGAGCCAGGGGCCGAAAGGGCTGCTGCGGCAGCGGCTGCTTTCCCTCACGCTCTCTGCGAAGCCGCCGCCGGAACCCTGCCTGCTCCGCTCGCCTCCCTGCCTGCCTGCGTCCCTCTCTCCCTCCCTGGATTGATGCAACTGAATGAATCCAATATGGCCACTTCCTGGAAACTCCCCCTCGCCGGAACGCGGCCCTGCGCCCTCCCTCGCCGCGCCGCGCCGCTCCCGCCGGTTGGAGAAAGCCCGGTGGCTGGGACGGAGAGGGGGGAGGAGCCGGCCCTTACCCCCACCCGCCCACCTTTGCCCCTGCCTGAGAAAAAGCCTTCACTGCGTGGGAAAGGAAAGCACAAAACTGTCGAATTGCTGCTGCTGCAGCTGCTGCTGCTCTCCGGCATTCTTTGGGAGGGATGCTGGGCACTGTAGTCCGCTGCCTGCTTCGGGCTGCTGCATGCATAAGGCAGCTTTTGAAAGGGGTGGGTTGCGTTTTGTTTTTCGGGGAGCTATGTAAGTTAAGCGCAATAAAATGATTATTATTGCTCCTTATTACTATTAGTACGACCGCTGTTACTATATCGGCTATTCTGTAGAAGAGCCTGGACCTGTTCAGGTAACATGTTTCGTCACACCAACCCTGTGAAGCAGGCTGCTGTCATTGCAGTCTTTCTGCTTTTGTTGTTGTTATTTAGTCGTTTAGTCGTGTCCGACTGTTCATGACCCCATGGACCAGAGCACGCCAGGCCCTCTTGCCTTCCACTGCCTCCCGGAGTTGGGTCACATTCATGTTGGTCCCTTCGGTGACCCTGTCCGACACTTCTAAGGCTAGGAGACGTTAAAGGCAGCCAGAAAAGAGGAAGATCCAAGACCAAACAGAACCCAGCTTCCTTCCAAAACTATTCTTCACAGGGCCTCGTTTCCAGATCTTTTAACACCTTGTTCTCCATTTTCCTGATCTATTCAGACTTTTCAATATCCTTCTTCAACACTCATGCTCGCTCAGAACTGGACCAGGTGAGCCCTGATAAACATACCAGAGAGGGGTAGTAGGATTTCATGATTCTATGATGCCATAAATGTGTGGGAAAGGAGGTTCTGCTGTCTAACACACAGATCACCTCTGCAGCTTCTGAAGACAAAAAAATTCACCACCACTGTCATGGAAACTTAAATTCTCACATGCTCCTTGCTTCAGCTGGTGCCCGGCATGATGATGATGGACATGAGTGAGTGAGTGAGTGACTTATCTCACATCTATACCATCTGGCTACAAAAACCCCTTTATCCCGTCAGAAAGATGAATTAAGACTTCTGGCACCAAGTACTTCCGCCCTCACTGCCGGGCTGAGATAATCGGTTGGTGTATAAACAATTTGTATATACATATTGTCTAATTGACAAGTACCTTTGCACACACAGTTTAAAAACACAAAACAATCAGTAAAAACCACTTGTTTGATTTAGGCCAGAACAGAGACAGAGAATATATGATCCTTGTCTTTCAGCATCATATCTTGGCCTGGAAAGAGATGTCGTTCAACAAGATCTGGAAGACCACTTCTCCCTACCCCGAGCTAGACTGTGCATTCTTACTACAGTATAGCTGCTTCTGCAGTATAACAGTACAAGTAATTTTGCTGCTTTGATGACTTGTGTTGTTCGATTTTCTTCTTGTACATGGAAAAAGTGCATTGAAAAAGAATGTATTGTGTCAACTTACCAATATCCTCTAGAGATCACATACAGTGATTGTTGTCTTCATTCACTCAATCATTCATAAAGTTTATTAATCAAGTCTCCCATTTCACTTACTCACTTCTGACTTGAGCAGGAACTGCATCCCTGAAGAGCACATGCCCAGGAACTAAACGTGCGCCTCCTTAACGAGCAGCATGTTGCCGACAAGACTTGCACCATTTCCCTGATGCAAGTATAAATTGGCAACATGACTCTGGCCAAAGGCTTTTAAAAAGTAAGTCTTGGCTTTGTGTTAAGAGGCATGCATATTATGCTTAGCTTTTTTTAAAAAATGCAATTATTTACTCAGGTGAAGAACATCCAACAGAAGCAGTCACCCAGTCTTTTTGTACAATCACTGCATTAACTGGAGTTCGGCTTGTAGGTGGTTTTCTATGAACCTGTAAGCACAATATTAAGAAATAAATATTAAAAAGTAATTTCTTAAGGTTGACTTACATTCCAGAAAACAGCGTGAAAAAAAGAGTCACACAAAGGTGCTGTGCAGTTGCACGCAGCTGAAGGGGCTGGCTCCGTCTCCCATTGCCTTCTGCATGTCACAGGAAATGGGCTGCAGGCCACGAAAGGATAGGGTGAGGACACTTGTTAAATGTGCCACAAGACACTTTGTTTGCTTTGTTGCAACAGATTAATAGAGCAGTTCAGAAGTAAATATACTGCAATCTTGGATAGAGCTGATAGAAGATTATCAGTTATATGTCCAAAGACACACCTGATAGGTCTAATAATACATTTCTTGAACATATCCCACCTAGGCCAATGGCTACCAGGGACTCACGTAGGAGAACATAATGTAATGGTGACAAAAGCTATGCAACAATCTTGAAGACAGAGAGCTCAGAATCACCAACAGGAATCCCAGAGGGAGTCCCAGTCCATACAACAGGCAAGTCCTCCATGGGTGCCCACTCTTCATAACATTTCATCATTATGTTCATAATCTGTGGCCAGCATCCTATCAGCAATGACAGAGCATAACTGCTCCATGGGTGGAGTGCTCCAGCAATCCCCAGGTTACTGTTAAGCAGTATGCAGTATGCTTAACAGAGCATGGACAGAGTTCCTACTCCTGTCCTCTGAAGATGCCGGCCACAGAGACTGGCAAAACGTCAGGAAGAACAACCTTCAGAACACGGCCAAAGAGCCCAAATAACCCACAACAACCATACTGTTAAGCAAGTCGGTAATTGCTTGTTGAAAATAATAGATTTATGTATGTGCAAGGGAGGGTTGGGAGAGATAGTGAATACTCCCTTGTGAAACTGGTATAAAAAGCAATGTCCACATGCAGCAAGCCATTACATGCATAGAAAAAACAAAGATTCAGGGGCTATTGAATCGATTAGAGAACACACTCCTCAAAAGCCCTTTTGTCCAGACTACACCTCAGATCCTACTAAAATTCTGAAGCTCACATTCTAGTCCTTTTCTCTCTGCTGCGCTTCCTTGTCTGGTGGGTGGGTGAGTGGGGTGGCATGCAGTGGCAGCAGTGGCGGGGGCATCTTTGATGGTCAGGGAGATCTCAGTCACTGTTACTGCTGCTAGCGCACTCTCCAGCTGCTGCAGTCCAGCTGTCTTCTGGAAAACCCAGCCCTATGAAGAAGGAAGGACAGTAGAGTCCCTGCCTGCTCCACGTGCAGTGAAAATGGAGGTGCTGTACCTGACCACAAAGGCGAGAACAATGCTGTCAAGCGGCCAGTGCTGGGAGGCTTCCCAGCTACCTCTGCACTGACCAGCTGGCATTCTTCTTGCCAGGGGGAGCAGCCCATGGCTCCATTTTTAGCACATTAAAAGAAGGCAGGTGATCGGAACTGTTTCACTTCAGCTTGCAGATAACCCACAGGTGTTTCGTTTTTTTTTTTAAAAAAAAACCCTTAATGTGGGTTTTTGCAACATCTTGTGCCAGCCAAGGTGAATCGGGCAGCAATCTGTGTATAGGATTTTCAGGAGGCTGGAGCAGCTGGGGTGAGGATCAAGGGGTGTGGAAATCCATTTTTTACTAGCTCTCTTGTGAAAGTCTAAGTCTGGATCCATTTTTATGCATTCAGAATCTGGCTCAGCTTGCAATCCAAGAAAGATTTAACCCTTTACAGGGACATCTGGGTTCCAGTTGGATGGCTGAAAGCAAAAGACACAAGGAGTTAATAGCCACAGATCCTGGTAAGTCCTGTGCTTTGTGCATTTGCCCAACCTCTAAAGTTGCCCAGATATAAAGAAAGGCCACAGGGGTCTTCACATAACTCTGCACCACCCTGATTGTGTAATAATACATGTTGGCAAAGTTTGGACTGTTTCTGTGCCAACAATTTTGTGATAACAAGCTCATAATAGAATTATTAACTTTTATATTTTTACAAATGTTTTGCCTAACTTTACAAGAGTATAGGTTTCCAGTAACAGCATACCTGACATCATATTTTATGATACTCGTTAAATTTATGCTTAGTAGGAAAAGTCATGGTGTGTCAAGGGAGAGAGGGCTTCTTCCCAGACAGCTGGAAGAGGAGCTACTATTGAAAAAGTCTTTCCACTAGAAGGAAGTAAACCCGGGTCCAGGTTTGGCTATGTTTATTTTTAACAAAAAATTAAAAAAATATAATTTGACAGTCAAACGTTTAAAATAATTTTAAACTCCCATTGCTAAATGGTCTAAAAATGATAGCAAAACACAGAACGGAAAGGCTGCACCATAATCTGAGGCCTGAGGAGGGTGAGGAATTGAGGTTTACAATTAGGGTTTGCCAACTCTGCTGTGGAACAGATGGTTGATCCATCACAAGGAGTGTGACAAGGAGCGACTGCGAGAGGGCGAAATAATTTTAAAATTGGGGCTGAAGTTCAAAATGTTTGAGAAATATGGCACTAGACATTCCAGGATAAGTCAAAAGGAAATCTTTGGTACATATTGTACAGTGATCTCCCCAAAAGAGACAGACCTTTTCATCTCTCCCTGGATTTGGGCAATAGCATTCCATGGCATAGCCTTATATACAATCTGTTTCTGAGTCTTTTGAAGTGGCAGTAACTCTGGCATTACAGTTCATGCATTCGTGTCTTCCCTCACAAAGCTTGTTAGCCTCATGCTACATGTGACATTCTGACAGTATTCAAGATGCCAGATCCAGTGAGAGACTGGCCTCTGGGAACATATACAGTACAGTATTTCAGTTTTCCCTCTCTTTTTTTCCCTGGCTTCTCATTGGCAGATCTTCCAAATTGCTTCTATTTCCAGCTCTCCCCAGATCATGGTGGAAATGGCTAAAAGTAGCTGAGAGATGATATGGAGGGGGAAACCTGCCATGAATATGGAAAATGCTGTATCCCCAAATGAGTTGAAATCCCAGTGGAGATGAGAGTCTGGGAAACCGTAGACAAAAATATACATTTAGCTAAGTCGTCAGTATCATGTGTAGTCTGAGCTTTGGAAAAAAAGTGTGATGCTAGCCTCTCTCTTTCTCTTTTTAAACTGCCATCATTAAATTCATGTCAGATGGCTGTGATGCTGACACAAAGCAAACTGTGTTTTCTTCCTCTAAATTATATGGGAATCAGCTCATAGCAGTGGCCATCCACTGTCAAGAAGGCAGCGTATTTGCAGATATCAGCTCCTGGTGATCATGAGAGCGTCTTTTAAGAGCTGCTAGCTACTCTGCAAATAGGTGAATTCACACTCCAGAACCAATTCAAAATGTTATGTTTTATTTTGTTTTGTTTTATTT